CTAGACTATGATCCCAAAAAAATTTTACGTACAACGGGAGACATATGAGCGCAAATATATATATATATATATATATATATATATAGTGCGTCTAATGCACACATGCACACACACACACACACACACGCGCACGCGCGCGCGCGCGCCTAGTCGAAAAAAGTTGGAACGGCTTCCTAAGACCTCAGCACGTGAAGATCTGATCAAAAGACGCATTCTCAAAAAGTGGGAAACTAAAAATTCTGAGAAACGCCTTTGGTGAGAAGAAAAACAAAAAAATTTTGAGCGAAATCGAATGGGGTCAGGTTTAAAATTTATTGATTTGGCGTGAAATTCTTCAAATACACGAGACTACAGTCTCATATTATTATAAGCCATTCATTTATTTATATTGTCCTATATACATAGTTGGATTCTATCAATATTTGGATGTGATTATTTATAACTGTTTAGATTCAATTATGTATGATCTAATTGTGATTTCTCTAATTTCTCAAGTTTTTGAGTTAAGCAGCTTAAAAACGTTTCATCATTTTTATCTCTGACCATATTAGGCTAGTACACTTTTATGAAAATCTACGAGGAAGACACTGAGTTAACTGAGCGGACTTCAATGGAAAGAAATCACACCTGACTCATTGAAGAATATTTGAAGAGCAAGCTTAAAACGATGGGAGATGTTACGTCATCAGTTGTCTACTAGTCTAGTGAATCCTCTCAACTATTTAATCTCTAGCCTGGTTACAAACCAAAACTCAACCAATAAAAAAACTACAAAATGGAAGTTTTTAAATAAATTTCTTTGCAAATTATTGTGGCAAGAACTAAACATCGAAACCACTTGTTTTATTGCTCATAGTGATTATTTATTTTATATGAAATCGTATAGTATGGTTCGTAAAACGCATTAAATTTAATTAATTATATATGAAAATTATACAAAAAAATTTTTAATCATTGTACTTATAATATAAAATTCCACGGTACAGTGTAGTTTTCTTCTTTCATATCACATTGTTGATTAAAAGCTGATTTTAATTAATCAGAATGAATAAAAATATTTTAATAGATCAAATAATTTTGTATTTATCGATCAATTTAAACACTCTATTCCTTCAAAAAAATTGAATTAAGTATGTGTGCGTAAATTCTCGAATATAATTTTAAGGTTGGGCACCACTATCCATATTTTTAAAAGTTTTTGGAAACCTTAGATGATTATTAAAGCATTGCAGGTACTAATGAAATAAGGAGATCCCGGACATTTTATATGCCTATTTAAATTGCATTTCAATGAAAGATATAAAATATTATATCTTTAATAAAAAAAAACAAAAAAATAGAAAAACGGTTGACCCATCTCTGCAACTTCCCGCTACACTGAAAAATTTTAAGCGTTTAGGTATGAAATTACACTGAAAAAAAATTAAGACAACAGTTGACCCTAAAGGCCATCCCTGCAACTTCCCGTCTATTTTGTACTTAAGCGCTCAAAATTACACACTACGTTTTTGAGCTCTTCGAGCTCAAAAATATGATTTTTGTGTCATTTTGAGCGCTCCGAGCTCAAAACTCTAATAGCAGTTTAATAAAACACAATTTTTTTGAGTTTTCAAACCGCAATAACTTTTGAATGAAAGAACCGATTTTTACGCTGTTGGCAGCATTCGACACAGTTTTTAAAGCCTCAAAAATAATCTTTGAGTATGAATTGATCGAACTAGGAATTTCAAAGTGACTCCGAAAAAACACTTTGTTCGGTTTTCTTTCGGCAACGATACCTCACGAATGAATCAACCGATTTCGAGCGGACTGGCGGCAATCGACGTGGTCTTTTAATGTAAAGAGCTGATAAGTTTTTGGAATTGTTTTGATTCACCAGCGCATCGTACGGAGTGGAGCGGGTTGTCATAACTAGGAGCGGGTGTACCCTCGGAGATAGTACTCCTACCCGTTCCCTGAGGCCTAGCCGACACTTAGCCAGCCCCGGAATACACGGACGGACTAGACTCGCTCGGGGCGGTGAAGATTCCGATCTCTAACACTCACTGCGTACTTCCTGATCAAGGCCCGAAGTGACTGGCTCCTGATCCACTACTGCAACTTACACCTCGGCAGAGCAAGCTCACATCAGCCGTGGCCTGCATCGTCGGAAATTACGATACAGGTTCCGGACACTCCCAGTGAGTTACAGCAGGGACCGATCGTCTTGTTAGGTCAGTTAGTGTGACCAACCCATTAAAGGGGAGTTTTGTCCACGGGAGCGTATTTTGTTTGGTTATTTTGCTTGACTCCTACCCGCTGTACCCCATCAACTAAGAGATTATCCAAGTCTCATCCAAGGACAGCGAGCGTTCTCCCATCCACTCGGGGAGACGCGCTCGGTAGCAGTATCTCTTCTGCCCCGAGTGTGTGTGTGTGTGTGTGTGTGTGTGTGTGTCTGTGTGTGTGTGTGTCTGTGTGTCTGTGTGTGTAATTTCTTTTTTTCTATAGAGAAGGAAAAATCTTTCAAAGACACTGCTATCTTGACATTGTAACGGGTTTTTATTGCCTGTTCATTGGCCCCTTAATTAATTTAAATAAAAACAATACAATAATTAATAAAATGATTCTAAATTAAAAAGGGCGCCACCGGGGTTTTATAACGCGGTTCCTGGAACCGGAACCAGAGCTGAGCTTATAATCTACAGGGAGAGAGAGTGAGGAAGGTGATCTGAAAGAAATAAATTTTTATTTAACAACGGTACCAAAAATTTATTTAACAACCCTGATTAAAGATACTGATTGAAAAGAATTGTGAAGCGGTCGCTCCATGCCAACTGTATATCTATATGTACAAACAAAAGAATTGAAATTATTGAAAAGAATTGGAATTTCATCATTTTTAATTCTTTTCAATCAATTTTTTTAAACAGTGAAAATAAAATAACAACTCGTACACTCGCATGTACACTGACTCACTTAACACTAACTTAATACTATACACTACTAGTTCTCGGCTCGGCAAAATATCAACAAGCAGAGAACGTAGTAACCTAACCAACTAACGCCTCAACAACACTGCTAGTCCTCTACTCGGCAATTCATCAACAAGTAGAGAACGCAGTAACTTAACTAACTAACTCCACGACTCAACCCACTAACCACCCGACGTATCCTCGGTCGATTTGTTGTCTAGCCCGTGACCCTCCCGGCGTCCACGCATGACAAAATTTTATTCCTCTACTCTCTTCAACTCGACTAACCACTAACTCAACTTAACCTAAGTAGCCAGCAAAGCACCTCGTACAGAGACTGTCGTATACGAGGGCGATGTGTAAATTTCTTATAACTATCAAAAGTCTTATTCCTGCAGTACCCTCATACGGAGCGTCTATACCACAGTTTCTATCTACGTCGCGCTGTCCACAGGATCCTCACGCTCTAGGTAGCCAGCGAAGCACCTCACACAGAGACTAATCGTATGTGAGGGGACGCTGTTCACACACACACACACATAACCCGCACGATCTTCACACACATTACCCACGCGTCTCACACACACACACTGAATCTACTTTACTTTTATTAATAAAAATTATCACAGAGTTTACTTCCAAAATTAACCACACTGATTTTCCTCTAATTATTCAGTCATTAGCTAACAATTAAAATTACAAATCATTTCCACGACTAATAATTTACTTCTTAAAAACTCCGGACTAAAACCGAAGCCTAAACTTATTCCAAATTTTACCACGAATTTAACACTCAACATAAAAGAAATTTCTGGATCTTTCGACGCCTCAATTTATTCCAGTTTTACTTGTAAATTAATTATTAACTATATAAAATATTATTATAAAATTTCATCAATTAAGTATGACTAATTATAAATTTTCCGGAATTAATATCCACGTTTGTTAGAATTTTTCCAAGATGATGAAATTAAATATATTTCCAGAAGTTGGTTCAATGTAAAAAATGACCGCGTGGAATTTTCCGAATAAATAATTAATCAACCAATAACTTATCTCAATTTAAAATAAATTACGAAAAATTATCCACGGGTATTTCAATCTTAATTTGCTCCGTAACTTCGATAAATAATTTCCAGTAATAAAATAGTTTCCAGTAAACAATATAATATAAATAATTAATTCATTGTCGTAAATTAAATAATGATAATTCAATTGTTGTAAATTATAATCAAGAAACTGCCTCGAATGCTGTCAGCCGCGTAAAAATCGGTGTTCTCATGCAAAAGTAATTGCAGTTTGAAAATTTGAAGAATAGTGTTTTATTAAACTTCTATCAGCCTTTGAGCTCGAAGAGCTCACAAGCGTAGAATATTTAACTCTATGAGCTCAAAGGGCTCAAAAACTTCATAAGTGCAGTTTTAAGCGCTTAGGTATGGAATTAGCCGGAAGTTGCAGGGATGGCCTATAGGGTCAACCGTTTTCCTAATTTTTTTTTTTAATTTCACTCAATTCGTGAATTTTTTGCCTAGTTACAGTATTGACGGTTTCATACTTGACGGACGGGAAAATTTTTTGAACTCTTTTGATGTTTTTTCCATTTTTATTGCACTGAATCAATTTTTGAAAAGTATGGAATTAATTTTCATTAAACTGTCTTCATAATAGTATGCAAAGTATATTGATTCCGTGAAGTAACAAGGGTATAATAAAAATAATTGTCGAAATAAGGCAAAAAATATTTTTCGATCGTAAAGAACTCTCTGATGCTTCGCATTATGAGTCGTGTAAAATTCAAGTAATTCTACTTAACATTTTCAATCGAGTATTTGCGTATGTCAACGATACAGAATGGGTTTAAATTTTGTAAAAATGTTTTTCCTACCAGACCAACATATATTATGAAATGAGATTGAGCGAATAAAAAAATAATCAAGTAAAAGAATCCCGAAAGCATTTGTGACTAAAGTTGCACAATTTTTGAGAACTATTTAATGGATAATTGTTAGTTATGCAAGCTATGCTTTTGATAATGAGTGAAAGAAAATGGAAATTGCTTGTAACCAATTTAAACTGTATTCTAATCTCATTTTAATGACATTTTTTCAAGCTTATAAATTTTTTGTTCATAGACATGGCGATTGGGTTCAGTTTTTAATTGCAACAGACACTAGAGATCAATTAAAACGAGCAACAGAAATATCATTATTGCCAGAATCATTTACTGTGTCGGGTGAGAGACGAGAACAAGGTATCATTGCGGCATTAAAAGACGGTTTTGGGTTTATAAGATGTGTTGATCGAGATGCTAGACTATTCTTCCATTTCAATGAAGTTCTCGATATCGATAGAGAGATAGCTGTAGGTGATGAAGTGGAATTCACTGTGATACAAGTAATTGTCTCAATTTAACGTAATTATTAAAAAGTCTATTGAAAAAAAAAAATAATAATGTTTTTTTTTTATATAGGATCCTCCGACTTTCTTTTCAAATACTCGTCAAAGTGCGATTCGACTGAAACATTTACCATCTGGCACTGTTCAATTTGAAACTGTTACCGAAAGTGATTTAGTAGGAACTGTTATACAAGATATCTCCGGTATGGACCCTGGATTGATTGGATATACAAAAAATGGACAGCAAAATAATATTATTTTCTTTACTAAAGATTGTGATTCTAAAGTTATTCCAAAATTGGGTGACAAAGTAAGAAAAATTTTTAAATCATACAAATCAAGTTTTATGATCGACATGATTAAATAATATTGTCCAATCAATTACAAACTTGACTACGGCTAGTTCGATATTACCTCGCCTATAGGGCGGCGGGTTATGTTGAGGATTCGCGTCATAAGAAGAAATGGAATTTTTCACTTGAATTTTTTCAAAATAAAAGAATAGAACTAACAAAAAATAAAATAACAATTCATTGACAAAAAAAAGTTCAGAGGTCGATATTAATATCGTCGTTTTAGCGAAATCATTTGCACTCATTTGTACAACAACGTTGGACTATCAAGATCATTCGGTATTACAAGATAATGTGATTTGACTCTCAAACGTAAATATGACAAAAATTCGGATTTTTTCTCGAAAACATTGATTTCACGTCGGACACAAAAAAAAAACAACGATCGAAATAATCAAATTACCTCCGATTCAACTCAAATATTCTTCTTGTTTCGTTACTCGAATCGTCTTCGGGGTGGAATCGTACTTCGTATTACTCCACAAGTAATCTCAATCGTTGTTCAAGCAGTGCATCATTCTTGCATTCGTCCATCATCAAACACTCAATATAACAATATTTGTAATCATAATTCGTAAAGCGTTGAATCCTCGAGTATTATTTTATGATTCAAACAAAAAAAAAATCAAATAAAGTAACCGTAAAATTACATCATGGACTCTAAACGTTGGAGTCTATGATGAATAATAAACGTCGGTCTACCAATTGACAGAGCGTCGTTTTTGTAGTAGCCGCTCGTGAGAGCTTCGTGCGGTCAACTTAATGAAAGGTTCTTATGAAATAGTACGAATTTACAATAATTTAAATAAATAAAAGTCGTGATAAAATAACGTCGCATATTCGCTGTTACTTGTTCTTTCTTCCCACAAAAACAAGCGCACAAAGTGTAAATTTTTGGTTACAAATATGATGAAAAATAGTATACGCACTAGCGAAAAAGTAAGTCATCTCAATCCGTGTGTTTGTCATCCTCGCCTTCGGCTCGGGAGAACATTCTACACGTGGGTTGGAATATCCTACTTTCCTCTCTCGGTGCGTAATATACTATTTCATCATCCGAGAATGATACTTTTTCGATTCAACCGTAACTAGAAATCTGAATAGTGCGCCACGCGCGCGCCTTAATTTTAACTAATAATGAATCGTGGCCCGGTTTTTGCGAGTTTCGACCTATTACTAACTTCAAGATTTTCATGTATTTTTATTTAGAGGAATCTCTTCAACAGCTGGTCCCCTCTTTTGCTCGCGTCGCTCTCACTGCAAGAAACGATATTATCCTTGTTGCATTCATGAAATAGATAACTAGAAAATCTATTATGTAGCAGAGCGTTTTTTTCAAAATTTTTCTTTGTTTAGAAGAGAAATATAAAGTTGCAATAGCAAGAGTAAAATTTCGAATATAATATTTTTTTTTTAATCGAGTAGTTTTCTTACAGTGTAATTTTATTTTTATAAAAATAATGATGTATTTAATTTTTATTGTTAATACCCAGTTTAGTAATGAATGATCTTATGGAAAGTAAGACAAAAGTAACTTCAGTCAAGCAACTGTAGAAATTTGAAAATTTTATAAATTAATACATACTTACTCAAGCAACTAAAAATAACGAAAAAAATTGTCGTTATTTTTTGTATAAATTTCCGCAAAAACTATTGTTTATTCATTAACTATTGAATGTAAACAACATATATGACAAAATTTATTATACGTTTTTTGAAGTATAAAATTCAAAGAATCACATGGTACAATAATTTTCAAAGTTTATTTACTGAATTTATTTGATTTTTAGGTAAAATTCAGTATCTGTCAAGTAAAAAGAAATAAAGAATTAGTAGCAGTTGACATATCACTATTGGATGTAAAGGAAGAAAAGGCAGAAAATGCAAATAATGTAAATGGTTTAGAATGTCAAGGTTTCATCGCTGCGCTTAAGGATGGTTTTGGTTTCATCGAAACTTTCAATCACGAGAGAGAGATATTTTTTCACTTTAGGTAATTTAATATATTTACAATATAAATGAAATAGCTTAATTAATAAAATCATCTTTGCCTTTTTTAAGGAAAACAATTTGAAAACAAATTATCATTGAAAACACTCTGAAATAATTCAAAATGGTTTAATAGTACCGGTCCTATCTTTTTCTCGCATCGTACTCACGGCGAGAAACGGTACTATCCTTGTTGCACTCGTGATGATAAAGCTAATTGCAGTTTTATGTTTTTCTTTTAAACAAATAAGAATTTCGAATAAAACGCTCTGATATAAAATAGATAATAAAAAAATCTATCACCTAGCAGAGCGTTTTTTTCGAAAATCTTCTTTGTTTAGACGAGAAATGAAAAGCTGCAATCATAGGGACCGGCTCTTGTTAAGTTGACTACTATACAGATATACAGATATACAGATACACTTTGCTAGGAGAGAATCATTTTAAATTGTTTATCTTAATAAGAGTGCATATGTTTTTCTGTGATTTCAGAATCAAATCATTCCTAAACAGAAAATATTTCATACTAACTGTTTATTAGTTTTAAGATTAAAAATATTTATTTTTTAAATTTTCAATGAAAATTCTTTGAACAGAATTTCTCACTTGAGGTTTTCTACGGTCTTGATAAAAGATTTACAAAAATCGTAACGGCTTTTATTCAACGAAATTAAATTCCAACTTTAAATTTTACAGTCTATTTTGCAAGAGAAGGTAAAAAAAAAAATTGGTTGTCTGTAAAGTCGGTTTACGGACGATAGATTTACGTGATAATGTCATAATCATTATTTTATGTAATACAAAAAAGGAGTTAATTGAAAATTACAATTTTTTAGATAAATTAACATTTATTTACATGCATTAAGTCAAATTTTTTTTTTAGTTAAATTATATAGATTAATTACAAGTAACAATGTGCTATTAACAATTTATTTACAACTTATATACATGTGTTGTATTTAAGATTCTCCAATCTGCATTATTCTGTTGAGGATAGGACGATTATAGGAAAAGTACGAAATCAAGGGGAGTGTTTGAAGTGTAATGTGTCTTGAAAAAGTCAAATCGATGGTTGTTCCTTTTAGCGTTGTTGACTTATTAACATCTGATACGCATTCGAGATTGTACGTGTCTTTCATGATACTTGCTCCAGGATGAATATACACGGCGCCAAGTACAAATTTAAACGTTGTATCAGCAGTGAAGCATGTAATTTCGGCCAAGCACACGTCACCTATGTTTTTGATGACACGAGTTGTGTCCGACAATGCAACTTGGAGAACTTTGGCTGAGGATGTCGATGATAATTTGCGATAGATTGCTACCCCACCAGCTGTGTTTGTATCAGAATCAGACCGATTATTCTGCCAGGATACACATTCATAATTATTGATTGGAACTGGATCACAATTGCTACGCATCCACGTTTCAGTCAATACCAAATAATCAGACCTAGGTATTATTGTATCCGTTTCAATATCTTTGGAATGAGCAGACAAACTCTGAGAATTAAGGTTTGTCACTATAGTTTGTCCAGCGTTGTTAGCGTCATCACAAAATTTGACTGCTTTCTTAGTGATTGTTTGAAGTGCGTGTCCACGGAGTCGAACGTATTCGTTACGAATATCTCGCGTAGTCTGGGAGTCGTTACCATCTCGACCGTGTTTGAAGATGAAGGGAGCATCTTTGTCCGTGATGATGTACAAGCCGTCTATATTCGTTACCCGACTCATCGCCACGTACACCAACTGTTGTGGTTGTTTCGGGGAGTATTTATAAACAATGACATCAAACGTCCCACCTTGTGACTTGTGAATAGTAATAGCACAAGCAGGGGCGCAGGGAAACTGTTTTCGTTTGCATTTGACAGTTTTTGTCAGAGTAATGTTCGCCACTTTCTTATACACCGGCACTTAGTTGAGAGACAGAGTATTAGGCTTGCTTTGCACGTGAGGCCAACATTTTATTTTAGCACTGACACCTGTTGTTTTTTCCGGAAACTCGAACCATAGAGTAATAATTTCTTCTCGAGATGCCGGCAAAGTTGTACTAGTCGATGGTCCTGCCTCTACAGAATGGTCATCTATATTTAATTGTTGGCATTCGATATATCGTAAGACACCAATAGCTCCGTTTACCAACCCATCAGCGACATCTATGTTATAAGTTATCATGTAAGGATACCCTTCAGCTAATGGCAGCAAGTAGGGCAATCCATCAGCCTCTGCTACCGTCATCTTGTGAAGTTGACCTCGACATTGTGTCTTTTCTCGCTCACTTGAATAATTGAGCATAATATCATGTGCAAGACAGTTGTATGGGTTGATGATTGCGCTGCGATTGTACGAATCAACTTCAATATTGCTATAGTACAGCCGGACAGCATTAGGCACGTTTTCCTTGCACCAAAACTTAGATTTATGTCTGGACTGAATAAGTGTGATTTCATCGATACTTAGTTTTAGTCCATCTCCAATTTTGGTCAGAATCGTTGAAAACTTCTCATCAGTCTGTCGCATAACACGAACCAGCGGGAAGTAGTTAATGCTGTGCCACAGGATTGGTCCTCCAAGTTGGTTGATCGGCATGCTGTAACATGGACTTGCTCGTACCGGTGGCAGCTGTCTGAAATCGCCACATAGAATCACATGGATGCCTCCAAATGGTTTGTCGTAAATGCCGGTAATCTGCTGCAGTCGGTAGTTGGTTTTTTGGAGAATAGCTGAACTTAACATAATGATCTCGTCCACGAAAACAGCTTTGACGCCAACGAACATGTTTCCGTAGGCTTGCAAATTCTCCGTGGATAAGACTTTTGTCAGACGAGAATTTGTGAGACGAAATGCTGAATGCACAGTAGTGCCACCAAGAGGTACAGCGGCTTTACCTGTGCTGGCACAGGCGATGTAGGCGTTGTTCATCGAGTTGTTCTCCTGAGTGTAGCGGTTGTACGTCTCCATAAGACATTTTAAGGTATAAGTTTTTCCACAGCCCGCGGGACCCTTGAAGAATATTTGTAGCGCTTCAGAAGTGTCATCTCCACAACTATGTAATCGATGTATGACCTTAAGAATGATCTCCCGTTGTTCTGGATTGGTGGTTCTTAGATACTCGCAATACTGCTGTTTTGTCATCACATTGCTGCGTTTCTTCACAATCGAGAATCCTAGTCGGGGGACGATTTGGTTAACATCATCGACGTTCTCGGCACCATCTTCTCCTGACAATCGTTGGGCAAACGCTGCTCTTGATTCTTCTTCTTGCAAATTGCTGTTATTATCATTTTGCAAAATCATCATCGCTTCAAGTTCCTTCATGACGTTTTTAATGTTTAAATTCGTCTCGAATAGGCTACGATGTTTCATAATCGTGTCTTTGTGGTCGTCAAATAATTGCAAAAATTTATTTTGATCAACAATCTCTGACATTTTGTTGCGAAACTGTACGTAAAGTAGAACCATCTCTCGTTTATAATTGACAGTTTCATCAATATCGTAGTGTCTGTATCGTATGACTCGTCCGAGCAGTCGTCTGCGATATTCTTTTGATTCTCTCGACGTCCTCGCTTCAGGCACAGCTTCAGAATCTTCATCGTCATCCACGTGCACGTCGTCTTCTTCGTCAACGAAATCACTACTGTTAGCATACCACGAAGCAAACTCAGCCAAATACACTTGTTCTAAAGATGCAGGTCGTTCTTCATATCGCTGTATTATGTTTTTGGTTCAAACATCAGTGCTGTCTCCATCGATACCTTCGCGATACATTTGTTGACGACGCTTGCGACAGCATTGTCTTTCTGTCGACCACACCGTTGGGATGTACACAATTTGACGACTTGCCTCACCCATTGGTTGTCGTAGTAGATACCATGCTGCTTCCTGCGCTGACATCTCAACTGCGTTAAGGAGTTTGATAACGCTTTCAATTGGCCTGTGTAGTCCTGATCGGGATGCTCTTGCATCATCGTGGTAAGCGCACGACGTAGGTTACCCATTCCACGGGCTGATTTATTTACATACTCTACGACATACTCTGCGCAGCTGTATTCATCCAAGATGAACTGAATGTCGATGTTAGAGTTGATTTCGCCGGCAAGGTACGGATTGAACGTGTTTGTCATAAGTTCGTCGAAGTTTCGTTTAAACACCAGAGTTGGTCTGCGCAGCGTTGAACGCACAATGTCGAGGTATGAAACGTAAGTCAAACCATTAGCATTAAGAAACTCATTCATGCATGCGTATCGACGTTCACCGAGAAAAGCACGCAGCTCCTTGGCCTTGTGTTGTAGCGTTTGGCCGCGTCCATCAGATTGAGGCATCGGAACCAGTACACGGGTCGTGAGCATAGGCCAGTAAGGGATGCCGAATCTGCAAGTTGTCTCACCTCGTTTTGTGCAAGTGAAAGTATGTTTGTGTATCTGGTTGGCGTAGATAGAGATGTTTGGCACATCATCTCGAGCAACCGAACTTAATTTTTCCACAAGATCGATGGTTCTTGGCATGTTTTCCGATACGGTCTCATGTGGGTCGTCGTTCAACCACAATAAAATATGTGCATGTGGGCTTCCTCGTTGCTGGAACTCAATACGAAGGAAGTAATCTTTAACGAAATACTTGCCGAACGGATTGTAAGACTGTTTGGATTTCAGCATTTTCATCAAGAAACCAATGAGCTTGTAGAAGTATATGCAGCACGTAACAGGATCGTCGCTCACTAAAGTACAGCGCTCAGAAGTATTGAGATCTTTTGCTGTTTTTCCAGGATATTTTTTGCTTAGTTTGAGAAGTATAGTTAGCAGTTTCATCCAGTGTATTTCGTTAGCACTTATAGTGAGGAATATGGTTGGTTTACCAAGTTGACGAATCATTGCAAAGAGGTCTCGTTTGCGAGAGGCCCAATATTGAACGGAGTTTGGCACTGACTTCATGAATGCGAGGTTTTGTATGACATATTAATTCTCTCAGAAATTCTGTGTCCTCTAACATAAGTCGCGTAACATTCTCCGTGATCGAAACATTGCGAAACGAGCTGTAAATTCCATCCACCATGCGCAGCCGTAATATTTTTATTGCAACGTACAAGATTTTTTGAGGCGTGGCTCCACGTCTGTCACGACGTCGTGTTTCACTGGTCGCTACCATGTAAGGTGATACTGAAACTCCCATGTTGAATCGACGTGGTTCTCCGAAGTATATCGATGGAAACGACAACTCTTCTGCATGACGGTCATAAATGATGTTAAGAGGTGTTGCCTGATGTCCTGGTGCGATATTGAGACAATCTTCTTCATTCCACATCATGGTATGTTGTCTTGAAGCGAGAATCTCAGATTCAGGTGTGTTTTTAGCGGAGATATTTTCTATACGGATCATCCTGGATGTCATCGAGTAACGGTATAGTAGGATGCAGTCTCGACAAATCCACGTTAATTTCGTACAAACGATGTAATGGAGACTCTTGCAGTACAGTTAGCCACGCACTGATTGTACTTTTGGACATGTATCCGCTGATGTAGACCGATTTGTGGGCAGGGTTTCGCTTGATGTTAACATTAATGACGTCGTCCTCATTTAATTGGCGCGGCAAACATTTTACCATCTGTTGTACGTCTACTGGTATGTTGATCACTTGCCCTATGATTCCATAATAGAAATCATGACGCAGACGACGCACTTGCATGAATGGCAGACGTGGCGATAATAATCATTCACTGATGGGATCCAACGGTGGTAAACCTGGTGGTTGGTCTGGATATGAAAATCCATTAACTTTTGCTAGAGACGGCATCGATTTTTTGTTCAGTGAACATTTACAAGTGTTGCAAACCATTTCATATTCTTCTCTGCAAAGTCGTAGATTTTCTTTGATGAACCATTCCGAGATCACCTCCAGCTGTGCATCAGTGATGGGTTTGAGATCTTTCTTGAACCACAGTCTGTTGCAAACTGAACAAGCGTAGCCAAAATCGTTGTCCAGAAAAGTTGATTTGAATCTCATGATCGAGGATGCTCATTTGGTTTTCCAAGTAGATTGTGCCTGTTGTACTTCAATTTGATCAGAAGAAGTACTTGGTTGAACAGTGATTTGTGCTAGTTCTTCTGCTGAAGTTCGACATTGTTGATGTGTGAGCTGTCGTTGAGTACCAGTTTGGACGTCGTTTGACCTTGCCTCTAAACGAGAAGAGGATGCAGTAGTCGATTTTAATGAACCACTGACACGAGCCAAGTTAGCAGCTTTGCATAGTCTGAATTTGCTCTGTCTTTTGGCATTCGATTTCCTGGCAGTTATCGCCTGTGCAGAAGTTCTGGATGCTACTATATGCTGTCTGTAATCACGTTGTTTCTGTGCCTTCGATTTTGGAGCAGCAATTATTAGTGGCTCAGCAAATGGCGTTGCAGATGTGCATGCGGCAGCATCTTGCGCTTCCGTGAGTACATTACTTCTTGAAGGTAGTGACAGGACCGTAAAATCCATAGGTTCGTCAGGTTGGTCTGACATGGTGTGATTGTAAGCGGTTCTGCAAAAGAAATTGTTAATTATTTTTTTTTGTTAATTATTTTAACAAAAAAAAAACTTATTGATACATTGTTAATTAAAAATTAATATAATAATTTTATAGTTGACATAACTATAACTATTCATAATATATATTAATTATTTTATTATTATTATTTTATTTTTTATTATTTTTTATAATTAATTAAAATAAGTAAATGTAATTTAATAGAATTAAATAAATAAATAAATATTTTTTATAATTTTTTAATTATTTTATTAATTTATTTATTTATAATTAATATTAATAATTATTAATATTATCAATAATAATAATTTGATATAATTTTTAAAAATATTTTTAAAACTGGTTAAAAACATTAATTTTTAATTTTAAATATTATTTACAGTTTTTTCAAATTTAATTTAAACAATTTGTTTAAATATAGTCACAAATAATTAGTTATATTCATATTATTATTTATTTATTATGATTCATATTACTCTTAAAATGGAAGAATTAATTACTTTTTTTGCCGCTATTCTGAGAAAAACAGTTAACTGAAGTGAACAAAATGAAGTTAAACTGAAAATAATGAAGGAAATCAATTAAATCTTATTAAAATGTAAAAATAAACACAAAACACGTTGTCGCGTATTCATCACTTGTTTACAAATAATAGCTTCCGTCGAGGTGAGCGGAGGTTATTGGAAAAGCTCTCGAAGCTCGCGTGGCGGCGATGTGTCACAAGCCAACGCTTCGACTCTGGCCTCACTGCTTGGGCCTCTCTATCGTTTGTTGCGCGTTTTATTCATTTATTGTTTATATTTATTATTAATTTATTTATTCATAATTAATATTAATTATTAATATTATCAATAATAATAATTTGATATAATTTGACATAAATATTTTTAAAACTGGTTATAAACATTAATTTTTAATTTTCAAATATTATTTACAGTTTTTGCAAATTTAATTTAAGTAATTTGTTTAAATATTCACGAACAATTAGTTATAGAACAATATTCGAACTGCTAGCTCTGACGTCACGCGAGAAGAGAGATATGTGTGTCACAAGCCAACGCTTAGGCCTCTCTATCGTTTGTTTTATCGTGCCTCTCTATCGCTTGTTGCGCGCTTTCGCTTGCACGCACAGGCTCAGATGGAACGTTACTATTTTTCATGAGTGTTGCTGGTATTCATCAATTTATAAGACGTTATCACGTCAAAAAGGTAGAAAGACCGCATACATTACTACAACTAAACCGTTATTCTCACTTGTGATAAACTTGTAGTGTTATAAGATCAGAACAATGCTACCATTGGCTTATAGGTGAATGAATGAAGTCTTCACTTAAATGCTAACGACGGAAGCTGAAGAGGTGATTACTCAACCTGGGTCCTGGGAAGGAATAACTTTCTGTTTATCATTGAACAGATTGTGACGAAAGATTTGTTTGTTGTCCATGTTTGTTTGTAAATGGGAAGCCCCGAGCTCCCCACTCCAAGACCACGACTACTATTGTTGAACCTAGGGACGAGTTCGAGCAGCTAGCGCGCCGTCAGGCCTATTAGACTGACTAGACCGCCAACAGAGTAAATTTATATTTACCCTGTAACAATGTCAGGATTGGATTTTTATGTGTATCGGGATCTAATGAGCAAAATCGATTTCCATAGCTAACCACAATAACAAATTTTTTGTATGGTTTAAATTATGAGTATACAAACATTAATAGGTATAATATTATATCGACGATAATAAGAAGATTGTAGTTCTCTAAATATTAAGTTGGATCAAAGATTAATAAAGCGTCAATTAAATTAGATTTCCATTGCCCCTGAAATCGCTCACTTAAATAACTCGAATTTCTAAACTATTTCTGGAATATTGTCGCTATTCTTCAGAGGGGGGAAGGGGTCAGCGTAAAAAATACACTTTTTTTGCGAAATTTTTTTAGAAAAATGGTTTGAATAAATTTATTGAAACCTTATGTACATTATTAAGTTTGTTTTAAGAATATTCTGCAAAATTTTGATGTAAAAATATTCACAAACAAGCCGGTGACAGAGCTTTTCCCAGAGCGCCTTTGAAAAAAGACAATTTGCCGTGTTCACTATATCTCAGCTGAAAATGTTCTCAAATAATAAACCATTTGAATTTAGTCAAGGTATTAATAAATCCTCCTTCATTCTCCAATTATTTTTTTTTCACTCTAAAATTAAGTTGAAATGTTAAATAAATCCCAAAAAAATCAAAAAATATTTAGTGATATAATTAACGTGATTGCAATTCTCAGTTAGCGAAGAATTCAAACTCTTGTTATCATTTATAAAAAATACCAATAAGATTATTAATAGTCTTTTTATCACTTAGTTTTTCTGAAATTACAGGGTCATAGTTTTGAGAATAACTTTGCTTTGCATATTTAATTGTTTTTTTATGTAGTATATTACCTTATAAACTGAAATGATTGACTTTGGTTTATTTTTTTAGTACATTCGATGGAGATGCCAGTACTTTAGAAGTTGGCGCTGAAGTTGAATGCACAATCGGATCTGGTAATAGTCGTAGTACTGGAGGATGCACTGCGGCTGAATCTGTTCATATTGTGCCACGTGGCACGATTCCCCGTGCTGCAATAGTTAGTGAAGTATTAGATGGAACTGTTATTCGACCGTTACGAAGTGCGAATCCTGAGCAATCCGAGTATGCTGGAATGATAAAATTAAGTGTGATCACTGACGAAAATAATGCAAAAAAATATGAATTTGGTATTATGGGCTTATTAAATAAACGGGAGCTATTGCAAACGGGTGATCCAGTACAATTTCAAGTTGACTCTGAAGGCCATGCTTGTAATATCGTAGCTGTTCGTAAAAAACGGATAGCTACAGTAGACGCAGTTAAAGGGGCTTTTGGCTTCCTTACTTATGAAATTGACGATGGAAAAAAGCTATTCTTCCACATGACTGAAGTTAAAGATCATACAACACTTCAGCCGGGTGATCAGGTAGAATTCGTTCTTGTGACAAACCAAAGGACAGGAAAATCATTTGCTTGCAATATTACACGTCTAAGGTAAATTCCACTAAGCTTTCCGAAAAGAAATTTAAAAAATTTTTTAATTGATTCTTTGTTGTATTATTACATTACACCGATTAGAGTGATTTCGAATTATCTTACAACAATATTGATTATTTAATAAACATACAACTTCTATAAATCGCATTTCTATTTATCCGCATCACAGTTTTATACTTTTTGTTAGTCTCTTATAAAAAAGATCATATCTCACTATTGATCAATTTTTTAATCAAATCAAAGTGATTACATTAACCATTTCAAAGATATCCAAGGTCAAAGTTCAAAAAATTTATCAAAAAAAAATTTTTTTTTTAAATTTCCTACCACATTGGAAAATAATAGTTGTCAAATGAATATACCATGTTTTTGTAGGAAATTTAACGCTCTACAAAAAAGGTCTGATATATTAAATTGATTACTGCAACCGTTTAAAAGATATTCGTAACCGAACCCCAATGCTTTCTGATTTCAATAATTTTTTAATAACTTTTTCAAATATATCCATTAAATTCATGAATGTAGTTATTTTCATAAAAATTTTCGCTCATATGGCTAAAATAAAAGTTTTTAACTATTTTTTACCCTATTCATAAATGTAAGGAAGCTTTACTTTTGGACAAAGAGAATGATACGTCCGTTTTTATTATTTACAAGGAAAAGTTCCCAGGTTTCCAGCTCCGATTTTGATGCCATTGAAATATGTTATTTTTATAATCGATTAAAATAATAAAATTTCACAATCGATATTTTCGGAGGTATTTAATAATATTTTTAAAAGATATTTATTATAATTTGACGCAATTTTCGATAAACATTTGAAAATACTAAAAATTAATCATTAAATATCTCTGAAAATTTTGATTTTAGCGACTTGGTGCTTCAAACCTTCTTTGTAGGAAATTGAATTTTCTACAAGTTTGTCGTTCACATTTTTTCTGTAGCTCTTGTTATTCACGAGATAAATGCGAAAAAACGCGAATTTCATAGAAAAATCAAGTTTAGAGGCCTGTATTACCTTGCCGGTTCGAGTTACGGCTTGGCCGCAATGGACACTTTTGTAGAGCATTCAATTCTGAAAAAAACCCGTCCATGGTCGAAGCGATGCTATGACATTTAAACATAAAAAAATCAGAGTTTCTGTGTTTTTTTAAGGGGAAATCTTTAAACGCCTGGATCGAAGTCTTAATATTAATATTAAGGGCTCAAACTTTCAGGGTGTTTTTTCTTGGGTACTTGCAACAAAATTTCACGATGAGACCGAAAAAAAAAAAATCCAAACATAACTAATCATTAGTTTTTTTTTAATTTATATAATTAAAGAATGTTACTTTTTGTCAGGAATTTTATCTCTTTACATTGAATATACTTATTATTTACAAAACAAAAATTATTTCAAATGCATATGTTAAAGTAATATTGTTTTTTTACAGTGGTGAATCTGTACAACAACGGCCGGAGCGTTTAATCAGTCGATTACGCACTATTTCATTGGAAGATGCAGGACCGAAATTGACAGTAGTAAGGCAACCAAAAGGACCAGATGGTACGCGTGGTTTTAGTTACGATCGTTCACAACATATATCTGGTATTATCGAGGAATAATCGACGATTCTACGTTATGTTTTTATCAGAAACCAATTGATTTGATTAATTATTTTTAGCTCACGCACGTTATTTCTGAGATTATGGTTTCAAACGAACGTAAATATTTGCCAAATGAATGTTATGTAATTGTTAAAAAAAAAAAAAGCATTTACGCTATTTAAAATTGATATGTATTTCAGGAATTATACAACATAATTGTTATTTGAAAAAAAAAATGAATTAATCAAATATTTTTTATTTATTCATTCATTTATTTAACCAGAAAAATACAGAAAATACACATATATACATCTGTTCTAAAAAGATGGATTATACCATCTGTAAATAGGCTTGGAAAATAAATATATATTTAATTTTATATTTTAAATAAACAAAAAAAATTAAATACAGCTACATGTCCTCAAAACATAATGACATCAATTGACGAAAAAGATCTATTTAACTCATTCTCTCCCTCTAACTCCTGATTGAAGATAATTAATTGATCATCAGACTGAACATTCAAATATATCCCAGCAATATAACCTTTTGTAGCTGATCACTATATTAATTTGAGGTAGTAAAAAATTATACTATTCCTGGTATTAACGGATATTTCTTTATACTACTTTTGGCAACGATTATATTTCAACAATTTTGAGTTAACAATAAAAGTTTTCTTAATACCAAGTAAGGCATGTACATTATCATTTTTATAAAATAGTTCCAGTTGCTTATTATGCATCACCCCATGTAGGAACTGCCAGAGTTAAATGACGGGGCCTTGCCTGGCCCAGTCCTAGGCAACCAAGCTTGGCGCACTGATATTTGGCCAACCCAATGATTACCCGAGCCTGGGCCAAGACTGGGCAATCAAGCCTCAGCCGGCCCAATGATTGTCCGAGCCTGGGCCAACACTGGTTTGCCATAGAATGGCCGAGACAAGAGAACCCAGCGTTGGGCCGAGACTGGTTCGTCATAGAATGGCCGAGGCAAAAGAACTCGGCCTTGGACCAAGACTGGGCAACTATGCCTTGGCCAAACCAATTATTACCTGAGCCTGTGCCAAGACTGGTTCGCTATAAAATAGCCGCGGTAAAAGAACCCAGCCTCGCGCTGAGACGGGTTCGCCATAGAATGGCCGAGGCAAAAGAACCCAGCCTTGGGCCAAGACTGGGCAACTAAACCTTGGCCATTCAATGGAAAATCCAAAGTTAATTAATCATTGAGTAATAGAATTTTAAACAATAAATATTTATTGTTCAACGAATACTTGTTAGCAAATGCTAGAATTGAAAATTTATTATTTAACTGAAACAATTGCATATCGTCAAAATTGATATGGTCTTAAAATAATTAAAATACAATAATTTACAGTTGAATTTTAACATTGATAATTGTAAACATTAAAATTTAAAATTAGATATTAAAAATATACAGAGCGATGTACAAAGTCTAAAAAAATATAAAAACTTGACTTTTGCATTTTTAACTTCCCGCTAAGAAAATCGAAGATTTTCAAAAATCGGGAAGTTATTGTTTTCACCCTGTTTTGCAAAAATCGAGTTTTCTTCGGATCTCGACGTTATGAGGTTACAAGAAGCTTCCCTGACTACCCCCGCAATGTTGTCACTATGTCTGTATGTATGTATGTATGTATGTATGTGTGTGTGTGTGTTTGTGTGTCAGTGTGTGTGCTTGTGTGTGTGTGTGTGACTGTGATTCGCTTATAACTTTTGAACGACTGAATCGATCGAAACCAACCAAACGGCGTTCTAAGAGTTCCCTCAAACTTAGATTTCCTGTGAATTTGAATCGATTCGGACCGATAGATTTTGAGAAATTTTGAGAAATCTCAAAAAAAATCGGAAAAATTTTTTTTTTGAAAGTGGTTTTTTTGGAATAAATTTTAAACGGCTTCAACGATCAACTCCAAAAACTAATGCGCCCTTGAGCTTGAAAAACCACGTCGATCAACGCTCATCCGGTCAAAATCGGTTGATTCGTTCGACAGATAGCGTGAACGAAAGAAAACTGAAAAAAACCGAAAAAAATTTTTTGAATACCCCCGCGGTGGTGTCTGTATGATTGTATGTGTGGGTGTGTGTTTTTTTTCCCTTTAGGGGGGGGGGAATCCTTTTTACGGATTCTAGGCATAGATGTTGGCCCGGATATGTGGCGACTCAACGCAGCGTTGTACTAAAACTTGACGTTGACGCCCCTACCCACTAAACCCTAAACCCCTTTCTCTTCTATCCTCTGAACCCCCATGGTACCGCCGTAAGGCATTTCTTCGCGGGGGGAGGAATTAGCTGCCGCTCTTCCTTCTGGTGGCTAAGATGTTATTTCTTCCTTCTAGTTTCTGTCATTCGCTCATTTCCTCTCAATGGATCGCAACTCGGTAAGCACTTTTGTAGCAAAAGTGCTTGTGGCGTTCCAGGCAGCTTCTGATGACAGCATTGCTGCTACTATTATCTCTGGTTGGATTTTCCTCTTCAGGATATTCTGCAGCTCATCCCGATGTGAGTAAAAACGTGAGCACTCAAAGAAAACGTGCTCTGCATCTTCATTGACTCCTGGGCAGGATGGGCACTCTGGGGAATTATCATGCTTGGAGCGGTGGAGATACGCCCGGAAACAGCCGTGTCCTGATAACTTCTGTGTAAGATAATAGTTGACCTCACCGTGACTCCGGTTTAGCCAAACGTTGATCCTTGGTATGAGACGATGCGTCCACCTACCCTTCACTGTGGCATCCCACTGTAGTTGCCACCGACTTATGCTCCTCTGCCGCTCTTCTGTTCCAAGCTCCTCAGCGCTTAGTGTGGTCGACTTCTTTCGTTGGTAAAGAATCCGTCTTTCCTCAGCTAAGATTCCGAGAGGCAAAGTTCCGGAAATGACACACACTGCTTCCATAGATATTGTGCGGAAGGCGCTTGCTACTCTTAAGGCACTCAGACGGTAGACTGGTCCAGCCCTTCTCCATGATTCTTGCTTTTCTAGTGCGTCTGCCCAGATAGATATTCTGTAAGTGAGCACTGATGTGATTACAGATGATAGCAGTAGTCTCCTGCTCTGCTTTGGGCCTCCGACGTTTGGCATCAGTCGTGCTAAGCTGGCTACCACTGCTGATGCTTTTGCACTCACGTATTCGACTTGCTGCTTAAAATTCAGTCGGGCATCAAGCATCACTCCCAGATATCGGATATATGGTTGTGATGTGATTTCTTGTTCTCCGACTTTCAGTTTTATGGTCTCTATCACTTTTCTGCTGGTAATAAGCACAGCCTCAGTCTTCTGTTTAGCCAGTTGTAGATTCATTGAATCCATCCACCGGTTAACTTTCTCAAAGGTGATACCGAACATGTGGTTTATCTCATCTAGGTGTTTCGCAACGATTACGACAGCTACATCGTCTGCATATGCAACAAGCTTGACACTCCTTGGAAAAGTCAGTTTCAGCAGGCCATCATACATAACATTCCACAGAAGTGGACCCAGAACAGAACCCTGGGGTACACCTCCGGTAATATCGTACTCTTTTGGACCATTTTTCGTGTCGTATCTCAGGATTCTGTCCGTGAAGTAGCTAGCCACTATCCTACGCAGGTATCCTGGTACGTGTTTCTCTTCCAAGGCTTGCATAATGCAGTCCCAGTTGGCGGAGTTGAAAGCATTCTTAATGTCCAGAGTGGCCACCAGGCAGTACTTCTTCGCTCCACCCTTCCATCTGATCCCTTCGATTGCCTCCTTGGCCGTTGCAACAACCAGGTTGATTGCGTCCAGGGTTGATCGTCCTTTCCGAAAACCATACTGGTTGTCTGCCAGGAGTGGATCGACCACTGCTTCTATTCTTTGGTGGATTATACGCTCAAGTATCTTACCTGCCGTGTCTAACATACAAAGTGGTTGGTAAGATGACGGTTCTTCTGGTGGCTTCTTCCCTTTAGGTAACAGTACCAATCGTTGCTGTTTCCACTTACGAGGAAAAGTCCCCTCCTTGAGGCATGCATTATAAGCGTCTAGGAATAATGTTGGAGCTGCCTTTATGATGGTTTTTAAGGCTAAATTAGGGATTCCGTCCAATCCCGGCGCTTTATTATTCCCTACACGATTACAAGCCTCCAGCAATTCTTCTTCAGTGACAGGTGGGATGTCGTCCAATTCGCCTGGCGCCAAGTGGTAATCGAAGTTGCGTTGCTGTGGAAACAGTGCAATGACGATTTTCTGAAGAAGTTGAGGACACGTAGGTGATGGCATTTGTTGTTTTTTCAGGTGGGTCATAACCACCTTATAAGGCCTACCCCACACGTCTTTATCCACCTCGTATATGAGCTCTTTCCAGCATTTTCTTTTGCTCTCTTTGATGGCTTTATTCAGTTCACGGCGCGCCTTTTTGTACTCTGCAACCAGTTCCACAGAGTTAGTTCGTCGGTAGCCACGCTGAGATATTCTTCTCTTTTGATGACACTCTTTACGAAGGGCGCTGATGTGGTCGTTCCACCAGTGAACGGAAGGTCTTGTGTTCATGCCACGTCTACGAGACATACTGGCGTCGCACGCTTGGGCCACTCTTTTCATCAGGTCCTTGGTCTTCTCTTCTGCGCAACCCGCGATAATCTGGTCACTATTGAGAGCTACTAGCAATGTACTTGGGTCAAGAGTGTTTACCTTCCAACCAATGGTGTTAAGTTGCTCTTTAGGTCTTCTCGGGCTCTGAGCGTTTAATATTTCCCAGAGAATCGCGTTGTGGTCGCTGGCTGTGTAGGTATCCATCACCTTCCAGTTGATATTACCTCTGGTGAGGCTGCCACTGACGAAATTGAGATCTACAATAGAACTTGCGTCTCCTTTGGTGTAGGTTGGTGTGTCACCACTGTTGAGCAGTACTACATCTAGTGTAGAAAAGGCTTCTAGTAATTCCTTTCCTCGCGCGTTTGTATGCTTGCTGCCCCAGTCTACTGCCCAGGCGTTGAAGTCCCCAGCTATTGCCACTTGATGGTAATGCTTCGCGTCCT